CGTATATATATATATATGTATGTACGTATGTATATTTATGCATATATATTTATGTGTGTGTGTGTATGTTAGTATGTATGTATGTATATATATATTTATATATATATTTGTCTCGCTGCCATACAATCTGGTAGTATGTCTAGAACCATGATTTATGTATCAAGTATTTGGTGCCAAAAAAAGAAGTCGATGTTTTCTAGTACTGTTACACATTGCAACTAATGCGTATGCATCCTCTGTGGGTGATTGTCTGTTGTCCCGATGTTCTTTCCTCTTAAGTGCTTCATATTGTCAGGAGATGAGTTCAGTGTCGATTTGTTTTGTCTGCGCAATTGACTTGTCAAACTTATTTCTGAACATCGAAACTCTACTACAAGTTTTCCATTGCCCATGAAGCCAGGCATATCTGGCGTGGCTTTTGAGATTTTCATGATCTGTACACAGTGACCGATATACAAGTGAGCTGCATATGGTGAAAGATCAGTATCCCACTGATGAAACACTGACACACTTACGTAGCGGAAGGTTAGTAACTGAGTCCAAGAACACTGGTTATAACCACGCTTGGTACAATTATATACTACAGGGGTATCGGACAGAGCATTCTTCGCCGTTTACGATGGCCATGGAGGTGACCGCGTGGCCAAGTACGCTGGGATACATCTGCATGAGCTGCTGCTGAATAGCTCGGAATACAAAGGTAAGACGTTGGAGTCTTGTATGTGCATGCGTTGTGTTGTTCTTGAGTGTATATGGGCTCGTATCACTTATCTGATATGTTCGTATGCCTACAGAGTTGAGCTCTATGCTCGCTTTTGGTATAAGTTATCAACATCGCGTAACATGCGTTGTGTTGTTCTTGAGTGTATTTGGGCTCGTATCACTTATCTGATATGTTCGTATGCCTACAGGGTTGAGCTTTATATGCTCGCTTGTGGTATAAGTTATCAGCATCGCGAAATAATAACAATCGAACACAGAGGATTTGTAAAGGAGCATCTGCTTAACCTGAGCCCCTGCCAATCACCATTTACTAGATGGAGACTATCATGCTGCATTAAAGAAGTCCTTTCTAGGCCTGGATGAGAAAATGAGAGACGACAAACAAATGCTCAACGTCAAGAGTGGGGCCACAGCAGTCGCAACCTTAGTTACGCGTATGTGATACTCGATATATGTATATATGCATGTGTACATGTATGTATGTATGTATGTATGAATATATATATATATGTGTGTGTGTGTGGATGTGTGTGGATGTGTGCTTCTTGTTTCCATTCACCTTATCATCTTTCACCTCCCACTTTGGTGTGGTACACTTATTTCTTATGCTTTTCTCATCACAAGTGTGAGAATCTGTGGCCTTCGTAAACTCGAGTGGGGTATCGCTTTTTAACGTGCAGTGTCACCAATGTGACTTGCTGTGGGGTTGAATGCGACTCTGATTGCCTTGGTTACGCAGGAGACTACCTAGTACTTACTGGCGTATATGCGAGATTTGAAGGCATTTTTCGCATAATCACAGTATCGTTTCGCGTGTATACTACTGTTAACATGTATTACTGGTATACATTACAGGTGTAATTCGGATCCTCATGCATATGTGTATACCTCCACATTCATTCGTGCAAATTTTGCATGTGCGAATCACTATATGCATCCTGCAAAAATCTCAGTCTTCTTCTGTTTTCTGGTTGCGATTTGAATTGTATGTTCCATGTTTCTGCGACGCTCGTGCATATGTGCTGATCCAAGTGTACTCGAGTCGCATCTACTATGTATATATATATATGTGTGTGTGTGCATGTGCATGTGCATGCATATATATATATACATACATATATATATATATATATATACATATATATATATATATGTGTGTGTGTGTGCATGTGCATGTATATATATATACATACATATATATATATATATATATATATACATATGTATAGTGTGTGTGTGTA